GAAACTGTAAAAAATATTCGAAAATTGTATATGCGAGAAACTCAGCGGTGAAAATAAGTTGCTCACATTGTTGAAAAATGAAATCAGAAACGAAAATAATATTCCGAGAGATTGTTCACAAGATCCACCGACTATAATATTAACTGGAAGCACTCTCACGCATTTTGAGATGTTCAAATCGCTGCCTCTATTTCTGCACGAAATCGATTCCCTTCGATGCGTGATAAATATATACGATAAATGTACACGACGCCGTGTCGTCGTCGTGAACAAAAACTTGTCACTATTCCAAAGAGTATGTATATGATACAAAGAATATGATACGTTTGTCACGTGACAAAGAAATTATTAAGAAGACCAAGATTGTTGGAGAAAGTTGGGTTATTGGATTTTGTGAAGAAGAACGAATTATCAATCTTCGTAATACATCTTTCGTAATATATCTTTTATAATATAAAAGCCAATATAGTCCTGTGTTTTTATCTCCAAATGCGATAACATCCGTCGGTTGTCAACAAATGTTTGTTGTCGAGCAAATTCGCTTATTTACAATATTCTTAAGGATTATACATATTTTTTAAGAATTCTGGATTATTCAATATCGCATTTAAAAATATAATACAAAAAAATTTGACAGCGTACAGTGATATAAAACGCAAATCTAGTTGGACAAAACTAAAAACCAATACTTTTAAATAAATCAAACAACATAATAAAATATTTATACTTGTATAAATTACCTTTAATAAAAAGCTGGTAAAATATTCTAGCGTTGTCATAACAACATTCATAGTAATAGTTTCTCATAATAACTAACAATAAAAAATTATACTGTACTTTATATAATTGTAAAAATATATATTTCAATTAAATTGTAGATAGCATTTTTGTATTCATTTTAAAAGTTAAATTACGTTCTTTCAGTTAATATTATAAATGTCTTATTTTAATTCTTGTATGTCCGAAGAAATTTAATAAGAAGTACTAAGTACTTTTATTTTGTAATTAGCATATATTATTGAATAGAAAAAGCTTCATCCGGCTTCATCCGAAGAAATTATATCATCATTAGAATCTTTGTAGAATATGTTTTAAGCATCGTAAAAATGATGTGTTAGTTTTTGCAACTTTTGCAAACATTTTATCTTCTATCATGGTAGATTTCATTAAGTGTATAAATAATACTGAAAAATCGAAATTATGGAATTATTTTTTCATAAAAGCAAAACATTATTATTTGTTTAAGTTGGACAAAACAGAAATCGTATTCACAATACAAAGTCTATAAAGTTTGTGTCCCTCTCTCTCTACTACATATATTTCGGAAATAGTTCGAAATTATAAAATTAAAAAAAAATCTAAATTCAAAATTAGTGATTACAAAAATTATTGTTAACATAATTTCATTATCTTTTAAAAATTGGAGTTTTATTTAGCTAGATTTGCATTTTCCACTGTGCAGCGATTTAAAAGTTGGAACAAAAATTATTTTAATAAGTAGTATTTTTTCATCTCTGTACTCTCTAATGAAAACCTATGGAAATGTATAAAATAATGATAAAAGATCTCAATTTTTTTATGTAAGTACTTTAAATATCCAAGATATAATTTGTGTAAAATTCCAGGGTATGTGAAGTTAGCACCCCAACTATAGTACTCAGGAGTTCTGATCAGCGTACTGGGCAGTTCTCGACGAGCTCTGACGAGAAGTATCAGGGGACAAAGCGATTGGGTGAACCGTTTTCGAGATATGCTACTTGGGAAAGGTCATCGAAAATTTTTTGAGAGTACTCAGGAGTTCTGATCAGCGTACTGGGCAGTTCTCGACGAGCTCTGACGAGAAGTATCAGGGGACAAAGCGATTGGGTGAACCGTTTTCGAGATATGCTACTTGGGAAAGGTCATCGAAAATTTTTTGAGAGTACTCAGGAGTTCTGATCAGCGTACTGGGCAGTTCTCGACGAGCTCTGACGAGAAGTATCAGGGGACAAAGCGATTGGGTGAACCGTTTTCGAGATATGCTACTTGGGAAAGGTCATCGAAAATTTTTTGAGAGTACTCAGGAGTTCTGATCAGCGTACTGGGCAGTTCTCGACGAGCTCTGACGAGAAGTATCAGGGGACAAAGCGATTGGGTGAACCGTTTTCGAGATATGCTACTTGGGAAAGGTCATCGAAAATTTTTTGAGAGTACTCAGGAGTTCTGATCAGCGTACTGGGCAGTTCTCGACGAGCTCTGACGAGAAGTATCAGGGGACAAAGCGATTGGGTGAACCGTTTTCGAGATATGCTACTTGGGAAAGGTCATCGAAAATTTTTTGAGAGTACTCAGGAGTTCTGATCAGCGTACTGGGCAGTTCTCGACGAGCTCTGACGAGAAGTATCAGGGGACAAAGCGATTGGGTGAACCGTTTTCGAGATATGCTACTTGGGAAAGGTCATCGAAAATTTTTTGAGAGTACTCAGGAGTTCTGATCAGCGTACTGGGCAGTTCTCGACGAGCTCTGACGAGAAGTATCAGGGGACAAAGCGATTGGGTGAACCGTTTTCGAGATATGCTACTTGGGAAAGGTCATCGAAAATTTTTTGAGAGTACTCAGGAGTTCTGATCAGCGTACTGGGCAGTTCTCGACGAGCTCTGACGAGAAGTATCAGGGGACAAAGCGATTGGGTGAACCGTTTTCGAGATATGCTACTTGGGAAAGGTCATCGAAAATTTTTTGAGAGTACTCAGGAGTTCTGATCAGCGTACTGGGCAGTTCTCGACGAGCTCTGACGAGAAGTATCAGGGGACAAAGCGATTGGGTGAACCGTTTTCGAGATATGCTACTTGGGAAAGGTCATCGAAAATTTTTTGAGAGTACTCAGGAGTTCTGATCAGCGTACTGGGCAGTTCTCGACGAGCTCTGACGAGAAGTATCAGGGGACAAAGCGATTGGGTGAACCGTTTTCGAGATATGCTACTTGGGAAAGGTCATCGAAAATTTTTTGAGAGTACTCAGGAGTTCTGATCAGCGTACTGGGCAGTTCTCGACGAGCTCTGACGAGAAGTATCAGGGGACAAAGCGATTGGGTGAACCGTTTTCGAGATATGCTACTTGGGAAAGGTCATCGAAAATTTTTTGAGAGTACTCAGGAGTTCTGATCAGCGTACTGGGCAGTTCTCGACGAGCTCTGACGAGAAGTATCAGGGGACAAAGCGATTGGGTGAACCGTTTTCGAGATATGCTACTTGGGAAAGGTCATCGAAAATTTTTTGAGAGTACTCAGGAGTTCTGATCAGCGTACTGGGCAGTTCTCGACGAGCTCTGACGAGAAGTATCAGGGGACAAAGCGATTGGGTGAACCGTTTTCGAGATATGCTACTTGGGAAAGGTCATCGAAAATTTTTTGAGAGTACTCAGGAGTTCTGATCAGCGTACTGGGCAGTTCTCGACGAGCTCTGACGAGAAGTATCAGGGGACAAAGCGATTGGGTGAACCGTTTTCGAGATATGCTACTTGGGAAAGGTCATCGAAAATTTTTTGAGAGTACTCAGGAGTTCTGATCAGCGTACTGGGCAGTTCTCGACGAGCTCTGACGAGAAGTATCAGGGGACAAAGCGATTGGGTGAACCGTTTTCGAGATATGCTACTTGGGAAAGGTCATCGAAAATTTTTTGAGAGTACTCAGGAGTTCTGATCAGCGTACTGGGCAGTTCTCGACGAGCTCTGACGAGAAGTATCAGGGGACAAAGCGATTGGGTGAACCGTTTTCGAGATATGCTACTTGGGAAAGGTCATCGAAAATTTTTTGAGAGTACTCAGGAGTTCTGATCAGCGTACTGGGCAGTTCTCGACGAGCTCTGACGAGAAGTATCAGGGGACAAAGCGATTGGGTGAACCGTTTTCGAGATATGCTACTTGGGAAAGGTCATCGAAAATTTTTTGAGAGTACTCAGGAGTTCTGATCAGCGTACTGGGCAGTTCTCGACGAGCTCTGACGAGAAGTATCAGGGGACAAAGCGATTGGGTGAACCGTTTTCGAGATATGCTACTTGGGAAAGGTCATCGAAAATTTTTTGAGAGTACTCAGGAGTTCTGATCAGCGTACTGGGCAGTTCTCGACGAGCTCTAACGAAAAGTATTAGGTGACAAAGCGATTGGATGGCTACATAAGGAGATATGTGCTTTTGCAACCAATTTTTCAAATTTTGTTTTAAGTACATATCTCTTTTATTTTTGGGTCTGTATTGATTTTAATCGCCTAGAACTCTTCGAAATAGACAGAATGACTATTAACATGTGACAGAATTATTGTATCTAAAAATTAATTTTTCAAAAATTTTTTTTATGTATCAGGAACTCTAGGTATTCACGAAATGAAGCTATTGGGCCGCTCAGAACTATTGGATCTCGATTTTCGATGAGAAGTTAACACCCCATTTTTTTAAAATTGTTTAAAAATACTTATTAAGCGGAACTCTTGTTATAAATTATATAGAACTCTTTGTCTCGTCAAAAAGAAACGGGAACTCTATTCAGAACTCCTGAGTACTATAGTTGGGGTGCTAACTTCACATACCCAAAATTCCATTGTAATGCAGAGATTACTTGTATTATTTATTTATGGAACAATTAATTTCTGTATCGCAATGAAACTTTGCATAAATCATTCTGACTATTTATACAAAAGTACTTATATACAAAAACTTATAGATATATAATAGATACTATAAGATTTTTGTCATTATTTTTTAAATTTAAATTATATTATAACAATAAAAATTAATTTTGTATACTATGATTACAATTACGTATGTTGAAATTCTGAGTAATGTTATTAATGGTAATGTAACGTAGTTTTTATGTGTATGTATGCGTAACATCGTGAACATCTGTGCTGACGCAATAGGGTTAGAGAGAGATAATACGTATTATTTTTTAAAATAAACTGCTGACAAGATCTGCTAATAAACAGGTAGGTATAAAAGCGCAGCATGTTTCGTATTCCGATATCAGTCGATGAAATAAAGTGCAAGAATTATTAACCATGTCTCGCGCTAGTTTCGTATTGCTTATAATGATTGGAGTGCTTTGCAGTAAGTTTTCACGTGAATTCATTAAGTTTCCTCAGTCTACGACTAATTTGATCTTTCATAAACAATTATTGTATATTTAAATTCCCTTTTTTAATTGCATAATAACTTTAACATTATAATTTAACTTGACTATAATTTTTGTAACACTGTACAAGCACAGGCACGACTATTGCACAAAGGCAGTGCCAGAGAAATAAAGAGTGGAACACTTGTGGCTCGGCATGTCCACTATCTTGTAACCCGCTGCCTAATCAAGCCTGCACATTAGTATGTATTATTTAATTTGCTAAATACGCTAATTCCATTGAAAGTTTTATATCTTTTCAAGCGATTAACTGTAGAACATTAGCCTAATCATATATGTATATTACAATCAATTTCGATATTTTACGATATTATTCTTTTTTCAGCAATGCGTGATAGGATGCCAATGTAAAAGCGGATATTTGTTAAATTCTTTAGGAGAATGTGTGCTCCCTTCAGAATGTTAGAAATTAATTGTATATGTATATTTATTAAAGAGTTGACAACTTTTGTTTAACGTCAACAAGATTTTTATTAAACATTTTAATTAAAAATTATACTTGTCGATGCCAACAAGTATTAACATGTATTAAATGTAATACAGCATAATTATATTGTTGCTTATATAATTACTAATTAATGACAAATAATAAATTAAGATTTTATTATTAATATCAAGAATATAGAAGGGCAAATTAAGTCAAGTTCGAATATAATATATGTGTAACACGTTAAAAACTTTTTTTACATTCCAATAATATTAATATAAAAATATAAATATAATTTTAAAAACTTAATGTTACATTGTGTTACATTACATGTTTCGGCATCATAATTGTGCCATCATCAGATGCTTAGAATTCGCAGAATAGAAACGCATTAAAAAAGTCAATATTAAACGTTAAAAAGGATGTATTGAACTAATCTTATAACTATATATTATATGTGATCCGCCTCTTATGTAAATCAGATGCAACACCATAAATGGAGAGTGAAAACAAATTGCTCGCAATCGGTTGGATGACCGGTTGATAGAAAATTTTTCACAATTATCTATAAGTTATAATCTTTTAGGTACAGATCTACAAGCAATTTCATAACTATGTTAAAGAACTCACCGTCATGATCCTACATCCTTCCAACATTTGATGTAGATAAGATGCGTGTCAAATTGCTTATATCAGTCATTATAATTATGAGGTCAATAAATATATGTGAAATTGTTAAAACTGTTAGTCACCAAGTTAGAGATTAAAATTATATAAATATATAAAATTACTAATCCAAAGTCAACGATTACAAATGTATAAATGTATAAAAATATTAATCAGGCAGTTAAAATTAAGATGTGTAAATTTATGTGATGTAACTGCTGTGACAGTCCGATACTGACTGATATGTTACAACGTCTAAAACATTATCTTAGCGTTGCAAAGTCATAATTTGTTTATTATCGGTATGTACGCTTTGTGAAGTTCTTCTGTATCCGTCTGTAAGTTGAGGCTGTTTTTCTGTTTCTTAATATTTAACATTTCTGATATTAGACATTTGTTATAGCACGGTTCCTCATCTAGAATTGTGATGTTATCCCAATCAAATTCATTCCCTGCTGCAACCTGTGTTCTGTTATCACGGAGCGGGTAGATGTATTCCACCGGATGTGGTTGCGATGTTCAGCAATTCTCGTTTTTAATTGTCTACCCGTTTGTCCCATATATGTAGCATCGCAGTGTAAGCAATTGACCTTGTAGACTACATTGGTCTTTGTAGAATGGGATCGCGGATCTTTTTGAACTTTAATAAATTTTTGTAATTTGTTAATACTATAAAATCCGACTTTTGTTTCTTTACTATTAAGTTGTTTAAATTTCTCGGTGATAGAAGGTATAAATAGTACTGTGAACCACGAAATACTATCAGGTTCTATCTCATTGTTTGAGTGGTCCCGCGTTTCCGTGTTTTGTTTCATGATGCTTCTGTGGATTCTCTTGTTGATGGTGTTAAAAATGAAATCGAGCGGATAGTAATTTTCGAGTAGAGTGTTGATCACACATTTTAAGTTCTCCGTGTGGTTTTTTGCGTCGGATAGTAATAATGCTTTATCGACTAAGCCTATGATGGTACCTCTCTTCTGTGAGATCGGGTGGTTAGACAAAAAATTCAGGTATCTTCCCGAATAACTTGGTTTGTGATACCAGTCGAAAGTCAAGGACATCCCTTCTTTCTTCGTGGATATGTCCAAAAAGTTAAGAGACTCTCCTCCGTTTTCCAAAGTGAATTGGAGTCTCGGATGGAAAGAGTTGAAACGCTCCAATATTGTTGCTGTGTCAGATGACGGGATTGCCGTGCATATGTCGTCAATGTATCGATAAAAAAACGGTAATTAGTTGTTAAGCGTATGTAACGTGGTATTTTCTAAATTGTGCAGCACTAAGTCCGCAATGATGGAAGACAAGGGAAAACCCATGGGTGTGCCAAAGGACTGTTTGTAAATGACATTGTCGAATGTAAAATATGTAGAATTTAAGACGAACTGAACTGCTGACAAAAAATCTGTTTTCGAAAATTTACATTTTTTTAATATATGATTCCATTTTTCGTTCACACAATCCAAAGCAACATCTATAAGGACGTTTGTGAAGAGTCCAATGGATCACGTCCAATGAGACCTAATTGTAATCCTCTTGAATATTTACTTCTTTGAGTTTATTAATTAGTTGAAAACTATTTTTGATATGACTGTCCGCCTTTGGAACAGATTCCAGCAAGATATTATGTAAATATGAAGCTAAGGCATATAACGGGCTCCCTATCGAAGAAATTATGATTCTAAATGGACATCCTGGTTTATGTGTCTTTGGCACAGCATAAGCTCTCGGAAGCAACCCATCACTGCAATGTAATTGTTTGTATTTCGCGTTGTTAATGTAATCATGCTTTTTCCATCTTGTCAGCATATCACGAAGAGAAGAAGTAAGTTTTTTAATGGGATTTAACGTTTAATATTGACTTTTTTAATGCGTTTCTATTCTGCGAATTCTAAGCATCTGATGATGGCACAATTATGATGCCGAAACATGTAATGTAACACAATGTAACATTAAGTTTTTTAAATTATATTTATATTTTTATATCAATTTATTGGAATGTAAAAAAAGTTTTTAACGTGTTACACATATATTATATTCGAACTTGACTCTAATTTGCCCTTCTATATTCTTGACATTATTGTTATTTAAAAGAGTCCTTTAATGTAATTGTTTAAATCACTCTGATTTTATTATTATAAATATTTATTCTTATATATTAATAGAGATATATATTAATTATATATCTCTATTAATATTGGATATCTATTTTTGTAAATTTAAAATAATTAAAAATAAAACATCACAAGATAATGATCTTGCTAAATATAAATAGGAAATAATTATGTATATCCTATGAATTATTTTTACAACAAAAAAAAAACAATAAATTATCCGTTTTTTGGATAAATAATATTATGTAACTATAAATAATATTATGTAAATATGTTGTTAAGTAAGTGCAAACAATAAATAAACTCTGTAGATCCAAATAAAATAATTTTTATTAATAACAACCAATATAAATAAACAATAAAAATATGATTCAAAATGAAATAGAACGTTATAAAGACAACTTTTATATGTAGGTATATAGTTTATTTAAAATATAAATATTAACATATTTGTAAAAATGAGTGCAATACATCCTTAAACTCACAGCTCGCAATACTTTTGAACAGATATTTTTAACCGAACAATGGTTTCGAAAACTAAAAATATGTAAAAAAGAAACTTGTAGCTCAATCGATGAAAACACCAACTCGGCTGACAATAACAACACGTTTCGAGCTTGAAGTTGAGGTTCTCTTTTCCCTTCCTTGCTTTCTCATTGTAACGTTTATTACTACTCGCGCGCCGATATTCTCCAATTCCCTTTATCGGATTCATGAAATTTTGAAGCAGCGTGCGCGATATGCATCAAGCGGGTACTGCAAACCAGACAACCAGGCAGACAGGCACCGTTGCCTCAATATGCGTGGCGATTCGTACTGGACGCACGCTGCGTACTGTATGTAGGTGTATACAGCGGGGCCAGCGAGAGAGCTGAGAGCGGGGCCTAGCCTCCTGGTGATGTGATACGGTGTGTCTGCGCGAGCAGAGAGAAACCCGTTTACCTTTAAACTGCTGCTCTCGCAGTAGTGGTGATGGCAGCGACGACGACAACGGTGGCGGGATGGCAGTGATGCATGGTTCTCTCTTTCTCTATTCCCTCGAGAGATACGGAGCCAGGAAGCGATAAAAGCAAAAAAATGAAGCAAAGCCAAAGGAAAGCTGGCATAAGTTTATATGCGTGTATGCTCCGGATTAGCGTTTAGATTTTAGTTAGATTTTAGTGGTGACTGATGGCCACTGATTTTTTAAAAATGGCATTGGTGGTCATTGATGACCAATATGTTACAAAATCTTTAAAACTTGTAAAAAAATAAATGCTACATAGTATAAAATTCTGAATGACAAATAGATAACAATAAGTTTATTTTTTATGTTTGCACTAGATTTTACTAGAACTTTTTTCTCACTTTAGCCAAATATCAAATATATACCTATTTTACTTTAAGATCCAAAAGTGCACACTAATTCAGCTATAAAAAACAAACCTTATGTAAAAACAAATTAAAAAGTATGCTATTCAACGCAATACCTATGAGGATATTTTATTTAACCACATTACACAATATTTCATCATTATATGCTTATGATGATAAAAATTCTACCATGGCGTATGCGATAAAACGTAAAAAAACTCACTGGACAGACAATGTGTTAACGTTTGCGACTTGAATTTTATCTTAAGGGCTTAGATAACGTATTTTATGCAGCAGCCTGGATTCGATAACACGAGGCGCATCATATCACATATGCGATGAGCCAGACCAACCAAAGATTTAACGATTCTTCGTTTTATAGAATACGACACGCTCTTTGTGTAAAATATTTCACAAAATGGCACTAAAGAGCATTTTGCAAAGGAAAAACCACTCAATTTCGCTTCAAAAATATACATTTAAAATGTACAGCAACGAGAGGGTTTGACAGAGAAAGAAACCGTTGACGAATGCGAGACGAATGCGTGGTAAATTTGTAGGAATTAAGCATTTTGTTTGAATGTAATTTCAAGTAACTATGCTAATATCTTATTCAACTTATAATTGTTTCTATCTTTCATATTTCAGTGATACGTTAATCTAGATCTCGAGAATAATAAAACGTTAAATTTTCTTCAACAAAGACAAAAATCTAAATTACTTCAATCGGTGTCGTATAACTCTCTACCATATATTCTTTGTTGTTCATATGTTGTTCTCATATTTCATTGTATGCCACGGTCCAGTATACACGCGCGCGCACTAATTCGAACTATTTAGACATGGATTCAAGTGTAGC